TCTCCCATGTGGCAAGCTATGTCTTCTCTGGTTGTCTAAATTGATGGGACAAGAAATACAGTAGGGCCTTGGCAGGTGGGCTCATTTGGTTGGAGCGTCGTCCCATACACCAAAAGGTGGCGGGTTCAATTCCCGGTCAGTGTACATACCTAGGTTTCAGGTTTGGTCTCTGGTCGGGGGTGTATGGGACTGGTCTATGTTTCTCTCTCTCTCTCCATTCCTCTCTCTCTCAAATCAATAAAAACATGTCCTGTGGTGAGGAAGAAAGAAAGACAGTGGGGGAAAGGGCAGTAATGGTGGTGGAAGGGTAATCATATCAATGAATGTATCAACAATTTCCTACCACTTATTTGATGATTTATTTCTACAATCTCCCTTTTTGACATCTGAGGAATATATGTGATACGTATATACACACATATACATTTCCTATCTCTGGTAATAAACTTTGTTCAGAAATGCAAGTAAATAGGTATGTTCTACGCATGAAATAACCAGTGGGTGTGGATGGCTTTTGGTAAAGTCAGAGGGTTCCTAGGGTTGGGTGAGGGGAACAAGGCTGCCAACAGTAGCTCTTTACACTAGATCCTGAAATTGGGTCTCATGGCTCTTTGCTCCAGAGAGCACATTCTATCTCAGCCACAGGAGGGCCCCACTCCCCTGACTGCCCGTTTGACAGACTGTGGATTCAGAGATAAAATGAGGAGCAGATTCAGGGGCAAAATAACAATATCTTTTTTTTTTGTGGCTGGGGGGAGAAGGGGGGGGGGAGGAATGAATGGAACATTTGGCAATCATCCAACATTTTCTCAAATTGGATGTCTGTGGATGGCATTTGCAGAGTATTAGTTTGACTACACTTTGGACAAAAATCCCTGGCCTTGGTGATCAACGAATACACATAAAGTATCCCAACAACTCCTTGTTCCCACCCCAATTCTCACTCCCAGTGAGGTACAGGGCATGTTGGAACACCTGCTCCATTGTGACTAGGGGCACCATGGCCTGGCCAGGGGTGTCTGTGAGGGCTGCGCCTGTCACAGTGAACAAAGGGCAGGGGGCTCCTCCCACACGACTGGCTCTGGGGCACAGAACTCCGGCATCTGCTCCCAGGCCTCCTTACAGGAATGGGTGTCGCCCTACTGGGGGCCAGCTTCCTGTAGCCATTTAGTATGGAGCAGCTGGCCAAACTGTGATCTCACTGAGGCTGGCAACCCACTTAGAATATGAACCGTGATGATAAAGATGAATAATTCTTGCACCTCCAGGGCATATATAAGTTTACTTATCTCTCCCATCAGCCCTGAAATGTTGCTCACCGTGCACAAGATCTGGGTTTCGTGGTATTGTTAATAAACAATTAGCACAATCACTCTTCAGGTTCTGAAGCTTGTCTTGGGCCCTTTTGCTGCATAATGCTGTCTACGGAATAATGGGACTGAGTGATTTTAAGCTACAATGGAGGGGAGGGCCGAGTGTGGTGAAATTGCAGGGTGGGGGTTTGAGGTTGGAAGAAGGTGTACAGAAGAGATGGTTAGCTGGGACTCTCCTTCCCTCCAAGCCTCCATGTAGCTGGAATGCAACAAAATTGTTCAGGCTGCTAGTAGCCATGGCCGTAATCATCTTCAGAGTGGGTGATGCTGCTGAGGCCAAGAGAGAGAATTGTTCCCGGGGGCTGGGGGTCTCCTGTAACAGAGCTTCGACAAGAATTGTACAGTCTGGCCACGGCTGCTTCTTACGCCTGCCCAGGCTGGCTTCACTCCTCTCCTTTCCACGGGGTGTGTGAGGAGAACCAGCTTCCCCATTAACTCGGCGCCTGCATTTTATCGACTGTGAACACTGGGGATCCCAGTTCTGGGGCCATCTGTGACCTGTCGTGCTGTAATAACTTGGTTTTCCCCGTGTTCAGCTCCCTCCCCAAGTACTTAGTGTTAAATCATAGGGGGAGGAAGTGTGAGCACAGGAAAAACAGCACTATTACATGACCCCCGATGAGACCGCTGTGATAGAATTAAAAGCTGCCACCCTAGGACATTCTAACAGATGACATTGTGAGGTTGCCAAGGTAACCCACCAGGATACGGTTCCAGCATCTTTGGGGTTGACGCTGGGTAGGGGAGGTCAGAGCGAGGTGAGACCCAGCTGCCCAGGGTCTATCTCCTGACTGGCCAGGATCTATCCCCTGACTGGCTAGTCCATGGCAGCCAAGTGGAAAATTTAAGGTTGACTGTTATGCAACACAAATGAACCCAATGGTGCCTCCTCATTGGATATGCCAGGTGGAAGAGAATCAGAATACTAGATTACTTCAGATAATTGTTCAATGTAGGTTACACAGAGCCTTAAAAGAACTAGATACCACCCGGCTGGCATGGCTCAGTGGTTGAGCTTTGACCTATGAACCTGGAGGTCACAGTTTGATTCCTGGTCAGGGCCCATGCTCAGGTTACCGGCTCAATCCCCACTGGGGCCACCTGGGGATGAGCCCACCTGTGGAATGGGGAGGGGAAATGGTCCTCTCTTAATGACCCAGTGTGCAGGAGGCAGCCAATCAATGATTCTCTCTCATTAGTGATGTTTCTATCTCTCCCCCTCTCCCTTCCTCTCTAAAAGCAATAAAAAATGTTTTAAAAATCCAGATATTAATGTCTCATCCATTCATTCCATATATGTTTAGTGAACACCTACTATGTACCAAGTACAAAGTGTCAGCATATCTAGGGGGAATGGATGAGAGTTCTAGAAAGCACAAAAAAATGCAGATCCAAGCAGGGCAAAAAGGCATTTGAGACATTTACACATTGTTAGTACTCAGGAAAATATTGAGTGGAGGAAAATGGAAACAATCAGAATAACTTATTAACCCCTAGGACCTGGTGTTTAAAAAAAAATTACATGCAAGAATTTTATAGAGTGGAAATGATTTGTTTCATGAAAATCAGCCTCTTCCTCTAACCACAACCAACTTAGGCTGTATTTCTCCCTTTTCTCTTTCAAAAAATACTTTGTTGGGTTTTTTTTTTAACTGGTTAACACCTATAAATATTATTTTCTTTCTTTAATGCAGAGGCCATGAAAGGATTAGAAAGATTTCAGATGGGCCTTGCCTTACAACACCTGGGGGCTTCAGGAAGCTATCATAAAGGTCCCTCCCTTAGGCCTCATACGTGGGTGTTCCAAACTGTCTGCGGTGCCACTGGGCACTTGTCCCCACAAACTACTGCTTGAACCTGGACTTGGGCCATCACCTGGTCTCATTTTCTCCAAGATGGCAAGCCAAGGGAGGGCAGAGAGTGGGGGAGACCGGAGGTGGTGGTGCCTGAGGCCAGCAAGTGGTGGGGAAGAAAGGGGAAGGGACACAAAAACAAAAACAAAAACCCTGGTGGGGGCAGGGAGATGGAAAAGAGAACTAGGATGGGTATGGAAAAAGAAAAACACGGAAGAAATTCTCTGAGACGCTCTGGTAACCAGAAGAATTCCTGAAAACAACACAGCGCTTCCTTACCTCCTGGGGAGGTGTGATTAGTACCAGAAGGACCTCATTTGTAACACTGTTGGCCTACCCTGTGGACTCCAATGCCTAAGACCCCCTCTTTTCGAAACCAGAAAATGTAGACAATTAATTAGATTATGTCCGCTGTCTGTTCCAGTCCCCTTATAACAATAGTCACAATAATAACATCAATGATAATAGCTAAGTTATAGGATGCTTCCTAAACACTTTACATACACAACCCAGGAGGAAGTGCTATTTGACAAATGAGGAAACAAGGCCAGAGCTGTTAAGTCACTTATCCAAGTCACACAGTACACAGGGAGGCCAGGAGGCCAAGCCTGTGTGGCTCCAGGGTTCCTGCTCTTAACCCCTACACCGTAGTTCTGCTTTGTTTAAATAGTTCCAAGAAGAAAATTACTTACAATACGCTCACTGCCTCACAGCTTCACTTGACTAAAGTAGTCCTGGGCTGGCGCTTTATTTATAGAATTTCCTTGTTGGGCAGCCAAATATTCAGGGTAAATGGTTCCCCAGATCTTCTCACACCTTTTGGACACCCTAAAGTGGTGGCAGAGGGCTTGGCAAGAAGACAGTGGCATTATCCCTCTCCCAAAGCACTAACCGCCAATAAATAACGTAGGCAGCACTGGGGCCACCTGGGGATGGGCCCACCTGTGGAATGGGGAGGGGAAATGGTCCTCTCTTCATGACCCTCCACCTCCAGCCATCAGTACCTTGGTAGCATTCGCCCGCCAGCATCCTAGCTCAAAATCTGAGGGATTCCCCAGTATCCCACGTGCGCTCTTGACACACACACACAGCCTTTGGTAGGAGGGTGGGTGCGTGAGCTTCTAACCTCTGCACCGAGCGAGGGGTCGCTAGAGGAGTGGCAAGCCTGTGCCGCACGCAGGATGCCCGCCGCGTGGAGGTGGCGGCGCGGAGCGCGTAGAGACGCGAGGCGATCCCGCCACTTCCCGCGGGGCCGCTGTGGAGGGCCGCGCGGCTTTCCCCGAAGATGCGGCGACAAATATTCTGGAGCTGGAGTCAAGAGAAAGAGAAACTTGTACCCGGGTGACACCACGCAGACCAATCTGCCCGAGATGGCCCAGGAGTCTCTAAACAGCAGGATAGTGCAATTCTGTGGAGCTCAGGGGGTATATTTCTTTATATAGAAAGCGCACAGACAACCTACTCTCACAGAGAAAGAGAACATTCGCCCTATGGGATTCCCCTCCCCTCACCACTTCTAAAAAGAAAATATCCCTCTGATTGCCTGCCATCATTTAACTGTAAACGCATTTACTGGCAGAGTTGGAGATTTCTCACAGCTCCTCCACCTCTGAAAACAACATGTTCCACGGCCGTCTCAGGTGGGGCCCAATTTCTGGGCTCCTCTGG